GTAGCCCAGGCTGGCCTCGAACTCACAGAGATCCGCCTGGCTCTGCCTCCCGAGTGCTGGGATTAAAGGCGTGCGCCACCAACGCCCGGCCCGTGGCAGGCTTCTTGCTAACTGTTCTTATATCTTAAATTAATCCATTTCCACAAATCTATACCTTGCCACGTGGCTCGTGGCTTACTGGCATCTTCACATGCTGCTTATGGCAGTGGCTGGCATTGTCTCCCTGACTCAGCCTTCCACTTCCCAGAATTCTCCTCTCTTCTTGTCCCGCCTACTTCCTGCCTGGCCACTGGCCAATCAGTGTTTTATTTATACAGAACAATATCCACAGCATGTGTATTCTAGTCAAGTGATGCTACTGAACAGTATTTTCTCTTGATTCTCCGCTCAGGTTCCTGGAGGTCCCCAGCCCACGAAAGTGTGTGTTGGGATCTCTCCTTTGCCGTCATCCTGCTCTGCTCTTCTTTCTGTAGGGACCAGGACATCTCTCCTTTGCCCCGACCTTCATCAAGAAACAAAAGCAGAAAGCATACCGAGGCACTCCAGAAGTTGAGGTGCTGGGGCTGGGGAGCTCTGGCTGTGGCAGAGAAGGGCGGAGAGAGAGGCTCTTGAGCCTCAATCGTCCTGTGTCCTGTCTGTACCCAGGGAAGTGAACAAGCGCCTCCAAGATCTCCGATCCTGCCTGAGCCCCAAGCAGCACCAGAGTCCAGCCCTTCAGAACCCAGATGATGAGGTGGTCCTCGTGGACGGGCCTGCCTTGTCACAGAGCCCGAGACTCTTCACCCTCAAGATCCGGTGCCGGGCTGACCTAGTCAGATTGCCCGTCATGACAGTGAGTTCAGGGGCGGCAGGGCGGCAGGGGGGCAACGGGGGCAGCAGGGGCAGGGGGCAGCGGGGGTAGCAGGGGGCAGCGGGGCAGGGGGGCAGCGGGGCAGGGGGGCAGGCTCAGCGCCTGCCTTGGAGAGACGGGCTAGACGTGGAGGTGGACTGGCAAGCCCACCTCCTTCCCATCCGCTCTCTGGAGCCCCCCCTTTGTCTACACTTTCCTCACTCTTGTCTCTTTTCGGCAAACTTTGCCATTTTCAGGGCTACTTAGGCATACTGTCTCCAGGCCAGGTTTGAGGGTTGGCACATGTCTGTAATCTCAGCCCTCGGGAGGTGGAGACCTGAGAATCTAACTAGAAATCAGCATGGACTACATAGCTATGCCGTTTGAAAAAACAATCACAGAAATATGTGGATCTTTATGAAGCTTTTTTTTTCTAAGATTTATTTTTAAATTATGTCCAGGCATTGCTGGGTGGTAGTGGTGTATGCTTTTAATCCCAGAACAGAGGCAGGTGGATCTCTGTGAGTTCGAGGCTAGCCTGATCTACGGAGCTAGTTCCAGGACAGCTAGGGCTGTTACACAGAGAAACCCTGTCTCAAAAAAACAAGCAAACAAACAAACAAAAGAGTCCTTCTCTAGGCTGCCTCTCCCCTTCTCTCCTCCAGGGCCCCATGCTTCCCTTTTATGCTCTTACTGCCTTGGACACAGCAGGTAGCACACAGTAATTCTGAGCTTGCCCAGCTTCCTGGCAAAGGCTGGTTTTTGTGTAGGATGATCAGTTCAAGAGTGCTAGTGGAGATGAGCCCTCAGGAGCATGGACCGTGTGTGGCCAAGCAGCTAAGCCCAGGCTTGCCAACTGGTAGCCTGTGGTCTTATCAGCCGGCCATTTTGCACCGTAGGGTACTTCTAATGTAGACAAGTAGTTGGAGCTGTGCCTCGGTGACACAGAACTTGGTGTCTATGAGGCCCCGAGTTCCGTCTCTAGCACTGAGAAAAAAGAATGCGTTTGTACCAAACTTTATAATGGGTGATTTCCTCAGGAGCTCAGAGTGTATGTGAGGTCCTACCCCTTCACTCCTGTTTAACTCCTCATCCATGAATTCATGGCTGCTGCCTGCCTGCCTGCCTGCCTGCCTCCCTCCCTCCCTCCTTCCTTCCTTTCTTCCCTCCCTCCCTCCCTCCTTCCTTCCTTTCTTCCTTCTTCCCTCCCTTCCTCCTTCCCTCCCTCCCTCCCTCCCTCCCTCCTCCCTTTCTTTCTTTTGGTGTGTGTTAGGGTTATATTCTTGTGGCTATGTGCCTGCGTGCATGTGGAGGGGTGTGCATGACTGTGCATGCATATGTCTGTGGAGGCCAGAGGATGATGTCTGGTGTCTTCCTCAATTGCTGTCTACCTTGTTTTTTGAGATGGCCTCTTCCTTGTTTTTTGAGATGGAGCTCACTGATGCAGTGAGGCTGGCTGGCCAATGAGCTCGAGGGATCCCTCCCCCCCCTTCCCCCCCCCCCAGCATCAGGATTGCAGGTACTGTCTGTTGCTCCTAGTTTTAGGTAGTGCTGGAGATCCAGAGTCAGGTCCTCTTGCTTGTATGCCAGGCACTTTGCTGACTGAACCACCTCCTTAGCCTCAGCTGCTTCATCTCTCTGTGCCATTTGCCTAGACCACTGAGTGACACTAGTTAATTTTGTGCTTGCCAGGTAAATATGGTGAATCTCACAGCTGAATAGTTCAGCAACTTGTGTTTGAGGAGGTAGCTCGGGGCTGGGGTGTGGAATTTCAAGGCTGGAAGATTCCTTTGTCTTCTTCCTAGTCGGAACCCCTTCAGAATGTGGTGGATTACATGGCCAATCATCTTGGGGTGTCTCCAAGCAGGATTCTTTTACTCTTTGGAGAGACAGAACTGTCCCCTACTGCCACCCCTAGGACCCTAAAGCTTGGTGTGGCTGACATCATTGGTGAGTGGAAGGCGAGGAGGGGTCTTGAGGAAGGCTTTGCTGTGGGTGGGGGTTGGGAGATAAGGGGAAGTTCCAGAGGCAGCCTGGCATCTCAATCCTCCTCTCCATAGATTGTGTGGTGCTGACAAGTTCTTCAGAGGCCACAGAGACAACCCAGCAGCTCTGCCTCCGGGTGCAGGGGAAGGAGAAGCACCAGATGTTGGAGATCTCACTCTCTCCTGTAAGTAGGACGTGCTGCCCATGCCCCTCCCCTTTCCAGTCCCCTGTCATTGGGTGGGTTGGCAGGACGTGGGCTCCTCCTAATCCTCCCTTACTGCAAATGCCCCTCTGTTTCTGTGTGCCTACCCAGCCTAGGTCAAAGAGAGAAGAATATTGTTAAGTCCTGTATCGGTTTCTCTCTGTTGCTGTGACACACCACCATGACCAAGGCAACTTACAAAAGGAAGGGTTTTGGGGGGTGGGGTGTCTGTGGTTCCAGAGTTAGAGTCCATGATGGTTGAGTGGAGGCATCCTGCAGGGCTGCTGGAACAGCCACCGAGAGCCCCCATTGCTAATCACAATCAGGAAACACCACAAGGACAGAATTCTTTAAACTCTCAAAGCCCTCTTCCAGTGACTTGCTTCCTCCAACAAGGCCACACCTAAGCTTCCCCAAACAATGTTACCAACTGTGGATCAAGTATTCAAATGCCAGAGCCTCTGGGGGCCTTTCTCATTCAAACCACAGCTTTCTTCCCACCCTGCTACCATGTGTTCCTGTCTTAGTTAGGGTTTCTATTGCTGTGAAGAGACCATGACCATGACCACAGCAACTCTTATAAAGGAAAACATTTAATTGAGGCTGCTTACAGGTTCAGAGGTCTAGTCCATTATTATCATGGTGGGAAGCATGGTGGCACACAGGCAGACATGGTGCTGGAGAGGAAGTTGAGAGTTCCACATTCAGATCGGCAGGCAGCAGGAAGAGAGCCTGATACTGGGCCTGCCTTGAGCTTCTGAAAAACCTCAAAGCCCACCCCCAGTGACACACTTCCTCCAAGGCCACACATGCCAATCCTTTCAAATAGTGCCACTCCCTATGAGCCCATGGGGGCCATTTTCAGTTAGACCACCACAGTTCCCCTTCCCATATCCCTTCCCCTTAGATGGAAAGAACCTTGTGTAATAACAATGATGTGCAGTAATAATGGCTTTTATCTATTTATTTGTTGGTTATAGTTACAAAAACCATCGAAGTTATATATATATATATATATATGTATACACAAAATTTTAATAGGTATATTAAGAAATTAACAAAAAATAAAACTAAGGATTAAACCCACACCGTGTGCATGCTAAGCTGTTACTGTGTCACTGAGCTCTAACCATATCCCAAAGCCACACATCTCCTTTTTCAGTCTTAGGGTTCTTTCCCTTTGTGTTTGTGTATTTGTGTGGGTGCTTGTGCCACAGTGCATGTGTGAAGGTCCGAGGGGAGCCTGTGGGAGGTGGTTCTACTCTGTGGGTGCTGGGAATTGAACTAGGTCATCAAGCTTGGCAGCAAGCACCTTTACCTGTGAACCATCTCTCTGGCTCACTTGAAAACAGCACTTCTCAACCTGTGGGTCACAACCCCTCTGGGGATTGAACAACCCTTTCACAGGGATTGCCTAAGACCATCAGAAAACATGTTTACATTGTGATTCGTAACAATAGCAAATTTAAAGTTATGAAGTAGCAACGAAAATTTTATGGTTAGGGGTTGCCACAACGTGAGGAACTGTATTGAAGGATCGAAGCATTAGGAAGGTTGAGAACCTTTGCTTTAAAACTTGCTATTATTTTTTTTCTTGTTTGATTTTTATATAATCATAAATTATATGTAACTCTTACTATAGTATATAGTATATTGTTAAAATTCTTCTAATTTGCCAGGTGTGGTAACACTCCTTTAATCCCAACAACTCAGGAGACAGAGGCAGGCAGATCTCTGAGTTTGAGGCCAGCCTGGTCTAGGCCAGCCAAGAGTATAGTGAGACCCTATCTCAAAAAAAAAGAAAGAGGAAAAAAAAATCCAAACACAACAACAAAAAACTAGTTTTATTTTTTGTTAATTTCCTAATATACCTATTTAAAATTTTGTGTGCATATATATATATGTGACTTCGATGGTTTTTGTAACTGTAATCTAGGGCAGGAAAATTCATATAACTTACTTGTCTATTTTAATAAGATAAATTATTGGAATTTAAATTTCCTGTGAATATTTTAGCAAATGATGCTTTGACCTCTATCTGTATGTATGTGTGTGTGTGTGTGTGTGTGTGTGTGTGTGTGTGTGTGTGTGTGTAGTGTCTATATGTGTGCATATGCCGTGGAGTATGTATGGAGGTCAGAAGACAGCTGGAAGGGATCAGTTTCCTACCGCCACCATATGAGTTCTAGGAATTGGACTTGGGTCCTCATGCTGGCAGCCAAGTGCCTTTACCTGCTGAGCTCTCTCGTGCCCTGTAGTACCTAAAGTGTCATAGGTATGTCATTATGCATGGTGCGTGCAGGGTTTGGTACTGTCGTTGACTTGAGACACCAGCTAAGTGTCTTGGAATGTGTCTCCCCTTGGGATGCGTGTGGGGTTTGGTACTGTCGTTGGCTTGAGACACCAGCTAAGTGTCTTGGAATGTGTCTCCCCTTGGGATGAACAGGGGTGACGCTACTGCAGCTGCTGGGCTTAGAGCAACAGAAGTTGGTTCTTACAGTTCTGTAGACTGAGACTCCACATGAATCTTTTCTCTTTGTAGCTTCTGGTGGCAGCCAGAGTTCCGTGGTGTACTCCTGGTGTCTCTCTCTTTTCTCCTGTGAAGACCTGAGTCATGTTGGATTAGTTGTCTGCATGAGGTGTGACCACACCTTACCTTGATTGTATCTGCCGAGGCCCCAAATCCAATAAGGCCACATTTGAATGTACCTGGTCAGGATGACAAGGTGTCTTTGGGCACAAATGCCAACCCATAAAACTTTTCTAAGTCACACATAACAAATTCTGTAGGACGAATTACTAAATGGTCTTATTAATAAAAAAACTTGGAGCCAGATATTGGGGTAAAAAGCTGAGAGATCAGAAAAGCAGAAAGAAGCCAGCCACATTCTTACCACTTGGAGATCCTTGCCAAAGAGACCTACTTCCTGTATACCCACGCCTATAGGCCTTTCTGTTCTGCCATCATCATTTCCTCTCTCTGCCCAGCTACATGACTTCTTCTTCCTGCCCAGCTCTGTCACTTCCTGTCTGTCTGTACAGACCTCCAGGTCTTTATGATTAACTAGTGTTGGAATTTAAGGCCTGTGCCACCACGCCTGGCTCTGTTCCCAGTGTGGCCTTGAACTCACAGATATCCAGACAAATCTCTGCCTTCTGAGTGATAGGGTTAAAGGCGTGTGCTACCATTGCCTGACCTCTATGTTTACTGTAGTGGCTGGCTTCTTCTTCTGATCCTCAGATAAACTTTATTGGGGTACACAGATAAAATATCACTACAAACTTCCTTTAGAATTTGCGTTTGCTTTATTCATGTTTCTGTTTCAGAGGGGATGTGACTGAGGCTTAGAGAGCTTGTTTATCCCGTAGTCTGTGCCCCAGAGTTGTCCTCTGGTCCCCGCTCAACAGTTCCTGAGGAACCTGTGAGTTCCCAGACAGGGGCCTGCCTTCCCCTCCAGGTTCTTCCTCTGTTGATGTGCCCTCGTCTTCCTTGTCTCGTGTTCTTTTTTCTTTGTTTTGTTTATTTTCAGATAGGGTCTCGTGTAGCCTAGGGTGTCCTGAGACTTATTGTGTAACCCAGGCTGGCTTGGGACTCACAATATAGCCCAAATTAGCCTGAAACTTGTGATCTTTTTGCCTCCATTCCGCAAGTCCTATCATTTCAGGCATATGCTGCATGTTTGGCTAAAAGTTGCCTTGGCTAAAAGTTGCCTTTTTGTTTTTGGTACTAGAGAATGAACTTAGCACATTGAACTTGAAAGTGTGTGCTGACCACTGCACTTGGCTCCTGGCCTTTGTCCCACGTCCTCCACCTGCCTTTCGTACTCTTCTATCTGTTGTTTGTGTCTCTACAGGACTCGCCTCTTGAGGTCCTCATGGCGCACTATGAGGAGGCCATGGGACTCTCCGGACACAAGCTCTCCTTCTTCTTCGATGGGACAAAGCTGTCGGGCAAGGAACTGCCAGCTGATCTGGGCATGGAATCCGGGGATCTCATTGAAGTTTGGGGCTGAAGCTTCCTCCTCCTGTTTGGATGCAGAGCCAAGACTTGGGGACAACAGCTCCCACTTTTATTATTATTTTTTGCCCCATAAGGGCTAACAGAAACCGAATTAGAACTCGTTTATTTATTTCCGGCACTGGGGATTGAACCCTGGGCTGTGCATATGCTAAGGATGTGTGAAGTTGAGGTAAAACCAAGGCATGACCTTTGCCCTGTCTCGTTGACCGATTGGTAGTTGTGTGACTGTGGCTGCCCTGGGTGGCCTGTGGCTGTGTGTGTTGGTGCTGTGGACAGCAGCTCCTGGGGCATGGAGAAGGGGTATTGGCTTCCCTACCATTTCGTTCAGTAGTGCACAAATGAGCCTTGCATTTGGGTGCCCAGGCTTGTGATTTATGCCACATTGGGGACCAACAGGGATTTTAATTCTCATTTGGGGGCTGAGATGCAGGTACCTTCCCTGGTGGGGATAGTCGGTTGCAGGGAAATAAACAAGCAATGACATCTATGCTGAAGCTGAGGACTAGGTAGACAGTGGGTAATTTTTAAAGGCTAACAGGAGTGGTGTCTTCAGCCCTGGGCATCCACTCTCCCAGGACTCGGCCAGCATCTGGTACATACTTCCTGGCATGCACATCTAGCCACATCTGAGCACATGCAGCTGTTGAGTTTGATGTTTACTCTAGTTCCGTCCTCCCGCCCTCTCCTGTCAGCACCCACTTGGTATATTTGTATCTGAATGTCTTTATAAGATGATTTTCTGAATGTGTGTGATTTTAGTGTATGTACATGGTACTGTGCAATAGACATTCTGTCTTCACTCAGTGTGAGTGACAGGCTAGCCATGTTAGCACCTTCTAGATCTGTTGTTGTTCCGATCTGCTGTGGCTGCCCCATAGTGGCATTAGATGATATTACTCACACATTGCCTTAATTGGAGGGATACCTGAGTCGCCAGCTCCTAGGAACCAAATTCCAGACCACAGCAAACATCTTTTTGTGTGTTCCCTTCTGGGCCAGGGTAGGTAATTGTCTGGCATACTTGCCCAGGATGGGACTATGGGTTACGCAGGTTCATTTTTCTGGTTTTTCTAGAGTTTTCTTCAGAATGTGGACTGCTTTTCTTGGAGCTTCTATTTCCTTATCTTGACCAGTATTTAGTGTTGTACTTTCTGATTTGCCAGTCTACTGTGTATAAAGCACTGCATATCTTAATATCCTTTATCTGACCACCATTTCTTATCAATGTCCACCTTCTGGTTTTTCTTTGTTAGCTGCTTGTTTTCTTGTGAGGCTTCCTTTTGTGTGTTTTTTCTGTGAGGAGTTGCTTGTGTTCTAGGCAATTGCAAATAACCTTCAGAATAGCACTTTGTGTACCCAGGGGGATTTTCACCAAACAGACATTCTTAACTTTAATGCAGACAGCTGGCTTTTGTTAGAAAGGGTTTTTTGTTTTGTGTTTTTTTTTTTTTTGCTTTTGTTTTTGCTTTTTAAGGGAAAATGAGAAAGAACTTCCAGAATGGCAGGGGTTCTAGCGGGGAGTCTCAGGATTGCTACTTTTGGATCTCTAAACTAGTTAAGAAACTTTCATTGTCTTCTGTTAGCTTGCTAGTTTTTTGTTCTTTTGTTTTTATCTCTCATATTGAGACCACTAAATGAGAATAGAGTTCTAACTGATCTGCTGTGGTGTGGATACTGACTGTTCTGAACTTTCCACTCTGCTTCTCACTGGTTACAGCTAGACTGTACTGGTTCCTGACTATTGTATGTTACGTCTAAACCATCTGAAATGCACCTTTGTGTGGGAGAGCAAATTTTATTGTGTTTTAATTATAATGAGCCAGTTTTCTAAGCTTTGTCTACTAAAAAATTAATATGTAGTCTGACTTTCACAAGAAGTATGTCAACTTCTTAAAAATTTTTTTTGTGAGAATATGTTATACCTTTGAATTTTAATATTTAAAAATTCCATGACATAGTATAGCTTCCAGGTTTCTCAGCTCTTGTATGACAATTAATGAATCTGAACACATTACTATTATGTATTCAATCTCAGCCAATAAAGGGAGATGCCTTTAACTTAGGAACACCTGATGCTTTCTGTCTTTGTCTCTTTCATGTGATCCCATTTGAAGTTCTTGTGATAGAGACCATTAATTATTCACAAACACCCATCCTTTGTCCTTGGTTAACAAAATCCATGGCTTTCAACACTGTGCAGAGACATTCAGAATGAAGACACTGTAAGTGCTATAGCTCTGATGAGACAGGTATCCTGGCAGTCAGGAGCCAAGAAATACTACAAAGTTGAACTGGTGGCCCAACAAACCTCACACAAGACATTTATTGGGAGGGAATAACCCAGGAGGATGGTTGCCTCTGCTCCAGTGAGAAGCAGCAGGACAGCTAAGCAGAAGACAGGATTTATATAGGATTTCTTGGGTGGGTGGAGCTTCCCAAGGTGGGATTTGGTGGGATTTCAAGTTCTGAGCTTGGGCTCTTTACTCTGTATGGCAGAGGCTGGGGCTGGCCTTTAGGGCAGTTAGTGTTCTGTGGGTGGAACCTGGCAGTTGGGGGTTCTCAGAGGAGGGGCCTGGCCACTCATGTGCCTCAAGGGACTTACAGACACTATAACCAGCCTATGAGTCTATGAAGCTTCTGTAGACTGAACCAACTATGGATTAAAATTATTAGGGAATGCACTTGGGTGGCAGGAGGTTTGTGAATTTGAAGTCAGCCTGGGCTACACACCAAGACCCTACCTAGTTTTTTATGTATGGAAAAATATTTATGCCAGAACTCATATAGGCTCTTCTTCATCACTATTTCCCAAAAGACATGGTGTAACTTTTTTGTTTGTTTGTTTTTTCAAGACAGGGTTTCTCTGTGTAGTTTTGCGCCTGTCCTGGAACTCACTCTGTAGACCAGGCTGGCCTCGAACTCACAGAGATCCACCTGGCTCTGCCTCCCGAGTGCTGGGATTAAAGGCGTGCGCCACCACCGCCCGGCCGGCCGGCATGGTGTAACTGTTAACGTGGCACTCACACTGTGTTAGGTATTAGAAGGACTCCAGCAGGTGTAACTCGGCCTCCTGGGGTGGCGGTGGAATGGGCTGCCCTTCCAGGGACGTCTGTGTGGCAGTGTGCGCTCCCCTGCATGCTTGCTTCCTGCCAACTGGAGGTAGAATGTTCTATGAACACAGACTTCAGAACTGGAACTCAGTGGGAGCACAGTGAGACAGGGCAGCCCGTGTCTTGGTCTCCATGCCATACCTTAGGAGTCTCAGCACTGAAATAACTGTCTTGTTGAAATCACTTAAGGATTTCTGTCACTCATAGCAGCCCAAGATGTAGCTATTTCAGACACAGCAGCCCAGATGTAGCTACTTCAAACACAACAGCTCAAGTTGTAGCTATTGCCAACAGCATTATAGTGGTTCTCTTTGGGCTGTGGGATAGTTTCCACAGATGTCTAGTTGTAGAAATAGAATGGGCATGAATATGAACCTACCTGGTCTCCAGGTTTGGTGGCACAGACCTATAATCCTGGTCACTCAGTAGGCTGAGGCAGGGTCTTAGAAAGCTGAAGGCCTGCCTGGGCTAGAGTGAGTTCAGAACTGGCCTGAGGACATATATAGGTCAGCAATAGTGTGCTTGCATGGCTTCGGAGTCAATCCTTAGCTTCTTGAGTTCTGTTAGGATTGCTCTTCCATACCTTTGCCCCTGTATCTAGTGCTAGAAGGTCCAGTTTTCTACAATTTTCCCTTGTACTTAGCAAAGACTATGCCTTTGTAACTGTAATGAGCATTTACTCAATGTCCAATTAACTCTCTCTGACACTAGTTTTACAGAGAAACTAAAGCTTAATGCGATTAACCTGCCACGGTTCTCACAGCCATTCACTGCAGAGCCAGATGTAGATACAAGTAGGCCTAACCTGAGACTTCTTGAGATTCTTGAGATTGGCACACTTGAGTGTGTGTGTGCCAAGTGTCCTGGGATCCTGGTAAAATGCTGGAGAGATGGCTCGGTGGTGAAGAACACTTGCTGCTCTTGAAGAGAACCTGAGTTCAGTTCTCAGCGCCCACATCAGGCAGCTCACAACTGCCTGAAACTCAACCATGGGGGATCCAATGCTCTCTTCTGGCTTCTCCAGGCACTTGTACACACGTGGCATTACTTACACAGGCATGCACACATAAATAAAATCCATTTTTTTAAATGAAGGGCCAATTGTGGCGCACACCTTTAATCCTGGTGCTCAGGAGGCGGAGGCAGGAGGATCTCTGTGAGTTCAAGACCAGTCTGTTCTACATATCAAGGTCCAGGCCAGCGAGACTCCATCTCAAAAAAAGGAAGTGGGTAGGGAGCTCGAGAGATTATTCAGGGATTAAGAACCCTTGTAGCTTTTGCAGAGGACTCAGGTTCAATTCCCAGCACCCACATGGTGGTTTACAGCCACCTGTTTACTCCAGTTCTAGGGATTCCACACCCTCTTTAGACCTCTGAGGGCACAGACACACACATACATGCAGGCAAAACACTCACAGCCGGGCGGTGGTGGCGCACGCCTTTAATCCCAGCACTCGGGAGGCAGAGCCAGGCAGATCTCCGTGAGTTCGAGGCCAGCCTGGGCTACAGAGTGAGTTCCAGGAAAGGCGCAAAGCTACAGAGAGAAACCCTGTCTCGAAAAAAAGAAAAAAAAAAAAAAGAAAAGAAAAACACCCATAAAACGGGGAGTGGGGGCCTGCACTGGAGCATGTGGTCTGGACCAGAAGCTGAGGAGGAGCCTGGATGCCTGTCTGATGAGCAGTCAGGGGATGCAGCTCTGCTGACCACATTTGACAGTGAGATACTCACTGTGCTTTGGTTCTTTTTCTTATCATTTTTCTTCGTACCCAATCCTTAAATACTAGAAGTTAGAAATCTTTGAGAACACCCCATACCCCTCTTGACAGTTTTTCCATGTAACCCGGGCTACCTTCTAACTCCAGATCTTTCTGCCTTTGCCTCCCGGGGGCTGGGAGTGTAGATGTGTGCTACCACACCGGGTATTTTGCCGTTTCTTATGTACCTTTATAATCTCCAATCTCCCCAACTCCTGCTATCCTCTCTAACTCAGAGGTTAGTTCTTCCTAAAGCTCCTGAAGAGCCATCCACATCGTGTGTGTGTGTGTGTGTGTGTGTGTGTGTGTGTGTGTGTGTGTGTGTATGGTTTTTCAAGACAGGGTTTCTCTGTGTAACAGTTCTGGTTGTCCTGGCATCTGCTTTGTAGACCAGGCTGGCCTCGAACTCACAGAGATCCACCTGCCTCTGCCCCTCAAGTGCTGAGATTAAAGGCGTGGGCCACCACTGCCCATCCATGGTCACATCATTTTTATGTCCCACCTTAGCACGAAACAAAACTGTAGCTCTCTCTACGTCTGTTTGATTATTTGTTTCTTGCTTTCCCATCGGTCTGTAAGTGCTTCACAATGTCTTGTTCTTTTCGACAATGCTCGTTGTTCATACACACAGTTGTTTCCTCCCAAAAATTTACTGAAGGAATAAATCTCATGTCTCAGAGAACCCCACTGCCACCATCTCAGTGAATGAGCCAGAAATAATGTGTCACCCTGCCTCCTTTTTGTGCTGAGACTGGAAACCAGGCCCTCACTCAGGCTGGGCAGGTGCTCTACCACTGGCTTCATACTTCATTTTGTGATGTTTGGGATGGAACCTGGGGTCTTAAGCATCATTGGTACTTGCTTCATTTTCATTATCTACTCCATGCTTGACCCCCACCCCTCTTGACGGTTTTTGTTTTGTATTATTTTGGTTTTTCAAGGCAAGATTTCTGTGTAGCCCTGGCTGTCCTGGAACTTGCTCTGTAGACTAGACTAGCCTCAAACTCAGAGATCCACCTGCCTCTGCCTCCTGAGTGATGGGATTAAAGGTGTGCACCACCACCACCACCACCACCACCACCACCACCACCACCACCCCCGGCAATGGGGTTCCATATGTAGCTCAGGCTAGTTTCTAATTAATTTCTACCTTTATTGTCGCCGTCCTCAGATAAGTGTCTTTCTGTCTCTCTTCTCCCATGCCCTGCCTGCAGTATAACACAGGCCACTGCTTCCCTCCTAACCCTCTCCAATCTATCTGCAACCGATGGTTAGCTTTTCTCAAATGCAAGTATGATTTTGGGGGGGTGGGGGTCAGAGACTCATTAAATAGCCCAGATGGCTTCAAATTTCTAGGTTCGAGTGATCCCCTGCCTCAGCCTCCTGAGCACATGGGACTATGGGCCCGTCTCAGTCACTAGATTTTCATATGAATTGAATAATACAATATGCATTCTATTATTTAACAGTGTTTTAAAATTTTTATTTTTATTACATTTTTATTTTGGGTGCATGCCATGGTACCCGTATGAGATAGAGGGCAGCTTGTGGCAGTCAGTCCTCTTCTTCCTCCATTTGAGTCATAGGGATGGAACTCAGGTTGTCAGCCTTGGCAGCAAGTGTTTTATCCTCTGAGCCATCTTGCTGGCCCTTAAGTATTTTGAGCTTTATCTCTGTTTATTATCATCATCACCATCACCTCGTCCAGGCTGGTTTATGACTTTAAGTCCTCAAACCCTCATACTTCTTTATTTTTAATTACTTTTAATTCTTTTGAGACTGGGTCTTATGTACCCAAAGCTCATCTTGAACTTGCTATTACTATGTATCAAGGAACATTTTGAACTTGCAAGCCTCCTCTCTCTGCCTCCTGCCACTCACTGGCCTGGCTTATGAGATACTGGAGAATCGAACCCAGGGTCTCAGCCATGCTAGGCAAATATGCTATCAACCGAGCTGCATCCCCGGCTGGAAGTGGGACTGCAAAGCAGCTCTTTCATAGGATTACAGTAATTTTTATTCAGAATGTATGTATATTAAGAAAAACAAGCAATCTGGGGCAGGAGTGGCGTACACCTTTAACCTCAGCACTCCGGAGGCAGAGCCAAGTGGATCTCTGTGAGTCTGAGGCCAGCCTGGTCTAAAATGTGAGTTCTAGGACAGTCAGGGGTACATAGAGAAACTTTGGAAGAAAACAAAAGAAAAACTA